CCCTTGGAGAGCAGCCTGGACTCCCTGGGGGATGCCTTCCCTGACTCTGGCCGTAAGACCCGCTCTGCTCGCCGGCGTACCACACAAATCATCAATATTACCATGACCAAGGTTAGGCTACTGGGCATAGAGGGCAATCCACCAGTTGCTATCCAGGAGTCATCAGCATCAGTTGGGAACGCACAGGATGACCAACAAACCTGTGAGATAGATGGGAAAACTAAGGTCTTGCTTATTTAGGATCTGTCTTCTAGAGAACGGCGAGGAAGGCAGACCAGAATTTAGGAAATAGCAGTTAATCCTGAGCCTTTAGCTACCCTATGCATCAAGGATGTGGCTTGGCCTGGCCCTCAGTGAACTGCTACTTCTAGGTGCCTTTTTTTGGACAGGGGAACGTCTAGAAAGTAGATGGAAAGATGCTCTTATGCTTTCTACTACTGAGAATTGGGGGAGAATGTAGATGATATTTCTGTTCCCAAGAACCTTGGGTGCAGAACAGACAGGTTGTGGGCTTGGGTTAGGGGTCTGGCTCTTAGCCTTCTTAGCTGTGTGCCTAGGGGGTACTTACTTCCTACCTCTGAAAATAGGCTGATAATACCTTCAAAGTATTGTGGGTGGAAGAGTCTTGGCAACTTTGGCATCTTTTTTTGGTTGGTTGGTTGGTTGGTTTTGAGACAGGGTTTCTCAGTTGCTTGGAGCCTGTCCTGGAATTTGCTTTGTAGAACAGGCTGGCTTTGAATTCACAGAGATCTGCCTGCCTCTGCCTCCCAAGGGTTGGGGTTAAAGGTGTGTGTCACCACTGCCTGGCTAACCTCAGCATCTAGCAAGAGCTTCTACTTGCAGTATAAAGACCCTTTTAAAACAGGGTGGAAGTATTAGATGTATTATTACACATGAGAGCTTTGGGGTAGAGGAAGGTGGTGCTATATAGTGTTACTGCAATGATTCATCTTTCCAGAAACTAGATGTGGAAGAGCCAGACAGTGCCAACTCGTCCTTCTATAGCACACAGTCTGCTCCTGCTTCCCAGGCCAGTTTGAGAGCCACCTCCTCCACCCAGTCTCTGGCCCGCTTGGGCTCTCCTGATGATGGTAACTCAGCTCTACTTAGCCTGCCTGGCTACCGGCCTACCACTCGAAGCTCTGCCCGTCGCTCCCAGGCCAGGATGTCCAGTGGTGCTCCCCAAGGTGAGGAGCCTTCAGGATCTTTGCATAGGGAGTAGGCAAGCTTTCAAAAGCTCAAGGCAGGCCTCCTTGCTGCCTTCCTGGACCAGAACTGCTTCCTGCCCGTCACTTGTCCCTGCCATCTCAGAGCCTTCCCTATCCTAGGACTGCAAAGCAGCAGTGTGGACCAGGGATGCTCACCAGTTGCTTAAGATTCCCAGTGGGAATCCTTTGGTCTACTTTCTGAGAGACAATGGGCTTTGGGAAAGTCAGGCTGCCCAGAAATTTCTTGGAAATTGCCCTTTAGGTCCTAGGGACCCTCCTTGGGTATCAATTCATGACCCTCAGTTTCTCTTGGTGTGGATCACCAGGCCTTGGCAGGTGGGTAAGATTCAACAACCTCTGTGTATGAACTCTTCTGACCTCATGAGACAAATTTGGATGGGTATGCCACTTCAATAAGGTGGCAGGAAACAGTGGCTACAAAGTCTTGCCAGATTGTAGACAGTGTGTGACTGCATCCATGTTTGCCCTAACTCCCTGTCCTCCATAGGAAGGAACAGCTTCTATATGGGTACTTGCCAGGATGAGCCTGAGCAGCTGGATGATTGGAACCGCATTGCAGAGTTGCAGCAGCGCAACAGAGTGTGTCCTCCACACCTGAAGACCTGCTATCCTCTGGAGTCCAGGGTAAGATAACGGGGTCACCTCAAGGCCTTCCATACTGTGTGTGCTGGGTCTTTGGCCTACTGTAAAGGTCACTCTCATGTTCCCATATAAAATAGTTGGCAGGTGTCACTCAAGGAATGAAGTCAGATATGAGACTTGGTATAAGTAGATAACCGGAAGGAAGGCATTTTCAGGATCCAGCTCTTTGGTATTATGTGATGCTCTATACAGCTGGGGCCCAGTGATTGCTTCTTGTTCCACATAGCCTTCCCTGAGTCTGGCAACCATCACTGATGAGGAGATGAAAACCGGAGACCCCCAGGAAACTTTACGCCGAGCCAGCATGCAGCCAACCCAAATCGCTGAGGGTGCTGGCATCACTACCCGGCAGCAGCGCAAACGGGTCTCCTCAGAGACCCACCAGGGTCCTGGCACTCCTGAGGTAGGTGATCTGTGTTTTGTTCTCTTTAGCACTGTATCTAGGTGTGAACCAGATCACCATATCCTAAGTAGTGAATTAGAGGGAAGTCTTTCTTCCATGGAAGTACTTCTGTCAAACGGTGGGGAAGGCATGCCATATTGCAGTTGTTCTCTGCCTCACAGTCCAAGAAAGCTACCAGCTGCTTCCCACGCCCCATGACTCCCAGAGACCGGCATGAAGGACGGAAGCAGAGCAGCACTGCTGTAGCCCAGAAGAAAGCAGCTCCAGTTGTTCTTAAACAGGTTAGGCTGGGACTGAAGGGGAGGAAGGCAGGCCAAATGAAGCCTTGCTGGCAGAGCCCCTAAGTAGCATGTTGACAGACCTTCCCCTACAGGCGGACCGGCGACAGTCAATGGCTTTCAGCATCCTTAACACACCCAAGAAGCTGGGAAATAGTCTTCTAAGGAGAGGAGGTTCAAAGAAGACCCCAGCAAAGGTCTCCCCCAATACTCAGAGTGGTACCCGCCGTTCTCCACGAATTGCCACCACCACAGCTGGTGCTGCCACTGCCACCCCTCGGGCCAAGGGCAAGGTAATTCAGTAAAAGGAAGACACCCCCCCCCACACACACTCTATAGGGCAGCATGGAAGTCAGGGCCAAGCTAGACTAGTGGAGAGGGGTGGGGTATACTAGCTAGGGGTTTCTGAGCTAGCTATTTAATAGAGGTTGGCAACACAAGAATTAATCTGGTAGTGACTGACTTTCTTTTTCAGGCAAAGCATTAAAGAGTCAACACCAGTGTGTGCGCGTGGCCCTACCTGTGTCCTCAGAACTGACCTTGTCCTTTTCCTTCTACTGTCCCTCTCAGTGCCTTCTCTGAGCTCCCAGGCCAGTGGTGGCCAGCCCCCCCCCAGAGACAGTGATGTTTGTCTGCACCCTTGTCTGGTGCCTGAAAGGTACCAGTGAAGATCCAGGTATCTTTTCAGAGCTGGCCCAGGAGGCTTGGAGCTTGGACAGTATGGGGTCTTCTCCCTATCTTGCCTCCTGATCCCCCCCCCCCTTTTTTTTAACTAGATTTGAGGCTGGATTTTTGAGCCCATAGTCTTCCTTTGTCTCTGGACCTAGGGACCATTGGAGAAGTTTTTTTTTTTAACTAGATTTGAGGCTGGATTCTTGAGCCCATAGTCTTCCTTTGTCTCTGGACCTAGGGACCATTGGAGAAGCAGGTTCTGCTTCTTGCTGTTCCTGGTGGCTGGGCCTAGCAGAGGCCTTTGCTCTTGAAGCTCAGGACTGGGCATGACCTGGTAGGAGCCTCAGCTGCTCTTACCTCCTCCCATCTGCACAAGGACACAGCTGCCTGGAGGATGCTTTTTTTTCCAGGGCAGATGGGTCCTGCGTCTCAGGGGTGGGATAGGGGGCAGCCTTAATGGCAGCTCACACTTCACCTAACCCAGACTTGCACTGGGGTGGGATATAGAACTATGGGAAGGTTTTTAAGGGCCAGGGATGGATCTTTTCTAAATGTTATTACTTGTAAATAAAGTCTATTTTTCTCCCTTGAGTGCTGAACTCTTTGGTATGGGGGAAGGAGGAAAATTACAGCTCTTTGGAACTTAAAAGTAACAATTTTCTCTCTCTCTTGCTGAGTCTTCAGACCACCACTCTTCTCTCACCGCTCTGGCTAGTTCCTATTTCATGAATTCTACTTGGCATGAGAGGCAATGCCCACTGTTCCTTCCTGAGACAGGCAACATTCCTATGACGACTCATCGTGGGGCCTGAAGCAAACAAAACCACCCATAAATAATGAAATCAATGTAGATCATGGCCAGAGCGGAGTATAGATGTTGCTCAAGTGTCATCTTAGCCAGGGTTCACCTGTTGGATTGGTGCAGAAGATGAGAGACCTGATAGGTATTCATGTTGAGTTCTAGGAAGAGGTTCCAGAACACCAGTGGAGTGAATAAGACATTAAGGAGATGCATGGACAGAAGGACAAGCAGGAGGAATTCTAAGGGCCTAATTTAATTACTGTAATATTCTAGGTAGAAATGAAGCTTGAATTTGAGAATCAGCTGCACAGGGACAACCAAAGCCTATACCCTTCAGGTAGATGAGAACCAGGCTCCAGTCATGCTTTGGCTGGCTTCATGGTAACCCCTGGCCCTGCTGATGTGGGTGCTGGGCTGTGGCTGGAGAGGATTTCTTGAGAAGGGGATGGAACTGTCTTCAACCCATCCTAGGAAAGTAAAGGCACACAAAGTCAGAGCTAAGGAGGACTTCTTGCCCCTCCTATCACTGAAGTACCAAGTTACTTCCATTCCATCTCTGGTTGACTTACACATATAAGCTGTCCTGGCAAAGCCCATCCTTCCTTCCCTGGACAGAATAGTTCCTCCCACCCCTGGATTCCTTCCTTCAAGTTCCTTACCCAGAGCTGGGCCAGAACGATGTGATACTGGGCCACCTGTCCAGGGTCCACAAACAAACAGGAGAAATTGGTGCTTCGTAACATGGGGCTCAGTTCCTCCAGCACCAGGGCTCTCTGTAGCCAGGTGCTTGTATTCCTGTGTTCCCGACTGCAGGAGCAGAAGGAAATCATGAGAGGGTTGCATGGGAGGGTAGCAGTCCCTTCTGCTAGGCTGACTGCTGTGACCCTCACCTTGTGTGACCCTCTCTCAGCCGGCCTGGTAGGTGCTCAATGAAGGAACCATTGCCCAGCCAGTAGAGGATGCTGAAGTAGGGGAAGCGGCTGCAGGCAGTACAGGATAAGGTCAGCGTTCCATCTAGGAGCAGATATGGCTGTTAGTTATTCTATGAAATAGAGGCCCCTACCCTGCCAGCTCCCTTTAGTCATGAATCAGAACCTGTAATGCCTGTGCTCCACCTACGTAGGAAAATGTCAAAATACAGGCATCAGTCTCCCTAAGCCCGAAGAATGTGATTCTTCCACTTCTGTGTCTCCTTCCTTGGGAAGACCTTTTCTAAAACAGTGTCCAGTATCTAAGATTCTATGACAGGTCCAATAGTCATGCTAGTAGGCTGATGTCCTGAGATGGCCAGAAGGCAGGCAGTCTCTGGACGGAGGGGGTATGCCCTGGAATACCTTGTCACCAAGGCTCTAAGGGTCTACATTACTAAAGGAACCACCTTGGGAGCTGGGCAGTAGAATGGTGAACACAGCCAGCTCCCATGTCAACCCAACCCCTAAACTCTCTATTCACATCCTGCCTCTGACAACCTCTTGGGCTCCAGTATTGCTCCTTACTCAATGGTACTTCTTCCTCTGGCCAGATCACGTCCACTGCTGGGTAGTGCTTAGTTGGGCCTGCTGGAGACCAGGAAGAGCACGGGTCCTTGGAGCTCCCAGTAAAGACAGTGGCAGTTGTCTGAGGTGCAGCTGTAGCTCTGGCCAGAATGACAACATGGACATACAGAAGCAGGACCCACCAAAAATTGGGGTCTGAGGAACAGATAGTTACAGATGTAAAGCTCAGCATCCTAACACCTACTTTGGTCAGAGACAAGTTGCTACTTGGGTTGGAATAGACCTCTACCCAGATACTCCTGAGCTGTCACCAGGCACCAGAATAGGTGGAGACCCTGCAGCCCCCACCCTTTAGCCCTGCTATATGTGGTGCAAAGAACCCTTGAAATGGAGCCAGAGCCAAAGCAGCTAGAGTGAAACTTGGAGCAATAGTAGAATTGGATGCAGTCTCTTGGGGGTGATGGTCAAGTTAGCCACACTGCTGTGTTAGGATGACCCCACAAAGCCCCATGTCCCACCTGTTGTCCACCAATGTCTCATGGTCATGATGACTTGTATCAGGAGCAAGCAAGTCTGGAAAAAGGTGAGTAAAATTCAGCCAGCTCCACATTTTCTCAGGTTCTTTCCCTCAGACAGTGTAACTGACATCCATTGGAGCCTCTGGTACTTCAGAGGGCAGGCCTAGAGCCACAAGCTGGACAACTGGCACTTAAGACACTACTCTTGTTACCTAGTAACAATTTCCTCTCACACCAGCTCCAAATAATATTTCCATAACGGTTCCCCAATACAATCTTACCCGTTAGGGAGGAGAAGAAAGGCACAAAGAGCCAGGGACTTACCTGGGAAGCAACACTCTCCGTTGACAGCCCTTGTTCTGGGAAGGGCGGGATGGAGTCAGCTTCTGGGAAAGCTCCCAACCATGATTTCACTTTCACTTCCGTTTTAACTAGGAATCCCAATCCCAAACAGGCTGCTCCACCCCTTTGACGCAATGCTCACAGAAGACAGAATTCCCAGGCCCCCTCTCCAAACTCTCACCCCACTAAGGACCCCTAGTGGGTGAGACAGATCAGGACTGTCTTGCTGAGGGTCAGGACTGTGGTGCCCCTTCCACCCTTCACTTTCTATAGAGCCAAGACCTTTTTAAACTCAATGCTATACCAGCCCATTACCATCCTAGCTCCTCTGTTTCCCCACCTCCTCAGCCCCACCCTTCACATTCACAGCTACTTGTGTAGGCTCACTAGTTAAGTCTTGATCTTACTTGGCTCTTAAGCCCTCTAAGCTTGTGGGTAGCTCCAAGGCTCAGTGTGGCTGCCTGGCCCCAAAACCCTCACCACAGGAAATAGCAACTTCCCTGACTGGCTGGTGTACAAAACTCCCAGCCACACTCAGAGCGGATTCTAAATAACCAAGAAGGCACTTCTTCAACACCAGCTCCAGTAGCCCAGGGGCTGGGACTTGGCAGGTACAGAATTAGAATCAGATAAAATCTGAAGCTGTGCTCCCCAAGAATCATGCCAGGGCCTCTAGGGCATGCACCTGTGGGTAGTGTGTGACCCTAAGTTTAGGTTTCTGTGATCGGCCAGGAAAGCTGGTGACAACAGGCAGGGATGAATCAGGTCTGAAAGACCAAGGAATAAGGTTCGGAAGTGATTCGGATGCAGGAGGCTAAAATCCATTTCTTCATGTCGTAGTCACATTTCTTCTCTGAGCAACTCCACCTACCGTCTATCACCTAGGCTGCAGAATGCATGGGAAAACTCCTTCCAAAGAATCCAGGATCTCCAAGAGTTGACCCAGAGTTTGCACCCCCACCTCCCAGGGGTGATTCTCAGTCCATTGGGGGATGGGTGGGGGTGCAGTAAGAGGAACTAAGCCTCTACCTTAGAGCAACCAAGACCAGAGGTGGCTGCAGAGGTTGTGGGACTCAGGGCTGCGAAAGCAGCCTTGACCTTGGGGGGGGGGCGCAAAGAAAGAGTGATCTCTGAGCCTTTGCTCAGCTCCCATTCCCCTGAGGATGGAGGGAGACAGGAAGCCACAGCTAATAAGAGAACAGGCTGAGTAGTTTGGGGTAGTAGGGTACTAGTCTCAGGCAGTGAGGATGGAGTGCCACCTCAATTTGAAAGGGGCCCAATGAGGCCTCAGGGCCCATAATACCATAGGGCAGGAACCATACGTGACTCTAGGTCCCAGCTCTCAGGTGGGGTACAGGGGTCACAGGAGAGAGGTGGCCAAAAGAACAGCAGATAGATGTTCAGCTTTCCAGCCTAGCTCATGGAGCTTTATTCAAAGATCACATGACCCTGTTTGATTCTTGTTGCCCTCAAAGGAGCCAGGCCAAATTTCCCTAGAAACCCAGTGCTGCAGACCCACGATGCCCTCCCACTTTCTCCAAACACCCAGGACTATGGCTAGGCTGGCTTAGAAGTCCCCTTTTCAGAACCTGTACCCACTCAGGCATTACTCTTCCTATCCACCCACCACTCCAATTGTCAGGCCCAGGAAGAGCCCACAAATGACCAAGCCTACATAGGGCTATTCCCTGGGGATCCCTGCTTAGCTTCAAGGGCACAATGCTGACTAGTCGGCAGAATCTGATGTTCATTAGTCTGCTATGTGCACACATAAACACTCTTAGACTTTTGGTAAGGAAGTGACGTGCAGAGTAGCCTTTGGCACATGTTACCACTTCCAGGCTGAAGGGTCTATCTGCACAAGAAGCTGCAACATTCACTGCTGCCAAAGTAGCTTCCACAGCCCAACAATATATAGATGGCTTCTATACCCTGCCTGGCAACAACCCTGCTCAGTGGCAGGTTATCCATGCTACTTGTTCTTCCAGCTGTTCCAAAACATGTCAGTGAATTTTGAGGTCACAGGGTTTCCCTAGTTGGAAAAGTCACTGATTTTGCCATACTCAGTCTTTAGTTTCCAGGCAAATGGGGAACAGAGTCATGTACAACAGACATCTTATATCCCAGACAGATGAAGAGACCCTTCATTGCTCAGTGTTGATCTGTGGCACCAGTCTGAGCTCTTCCACACTGAGTGCAAACCAGCCTTGAGCTTTGCAGAGGGAAGGGAAGGTGAAAGGGTAGGCTGAAGCACTCAGTCATCAGAAAACGCACCAATGCTCTCAGCCAGAGGTGAAAAGACCCCTCGGGACCAACGGCTTTGCCCTACCCTGTTCAAACAGGATAAGGCCCAGGCGTGGGGGACAATTCCTATACTCCACAATAAAAAATTTAAATATATTCATCAAAATAATTTTCTTTTAAAAAGTCCCCACTGCTGACAGCCCCACTGGCTAGTTCTCCATCATTATCCCCTTCCCAACCCAGACACAGCTGGGGAAGTCCTGAGTGGCCCAAATGCCTTTGAGTCTTTCCCACCCAAGTCTTTGTGGGCAGCAAGGAGAGTGCCCTGAGGTCCATGGCGGGTGGGCTGGGTTCTCCAATGATATGGTTCCATATTATTCCAGGCCCAGGATATAGCTGATGCCTTGTACCAGGCCAATGATGACAGGCTGCCAGGCTACCAAGTATCGAAGCCAGTCCAGCAGCTGTCCATACATGACATGAGGCCTCTCCCAGCTGTTAGATTGTTAAGGATCAGAGGCTATGTACAAGAGCTGGTAGGTTCATCCAGCATGGTACTGAAGCCTTCCTTGGATTTGTCTGAAGTTCTACTCTGCTCCATAGCCCAGAGAAAATAAAGCTACCCAGCTTCTCTTTAGCTCTCCATATTGGAATGAAAGGCTGAACCCAGAGACTCAGGGGAAGGAAAGCAGACGGAACTGGAGCAGACACAGAAGTGGAGAGGTAAAACAGGTCTCCACAAGCAACATTCATGCAGGGCCTCCAAGCACCACCTTCTCAGAGATGACCAACAGTCTAATAAACCTGACAAATACCCTAGAAAAGCATCCATGACAGGAGGCTGGGAATGGAATACAGTAAGTAAATCAGAAGGATCTTCTAGCAAGTACTCTGCCTCTGAGCTAGCTATACTCTTGCCCCAGAAGGTTCTTGCAATGTACAAAATTTAAGGTTTTCTCCATGAAAGAAAAGATTCGGTCTACTGACATGCTGCATCGATAAAAGCTTTCATCTTGGCAGGAAGCTTGTTAAGATACATGCTGTTCTTAGGTGATAGTGGCACACACCTTTAATCACAGCACTCAGGAGACAAAGGCAGGTGGATTTCTGAGTTCAAGGCTAGCCTGGGCTATAGAGTGAGTTCCAGGACAGCCAGTACTACACAGAGAAACCCTGTCTTAGGGAAAACAAAACAAAACAAAAAAACAAAAAAAAAACAAAAAACAAACAAACAAAAAACAAAACCAAGAAGTCTGTTCTAAAGAGATGAAACATCTCATCCAGCAGGGAAGCTCCTTAAGCCCAGAGAGTAAACAATTCAAAAGCTTCAAGAAGTCCCTGAAACTGACCAGATACACTAGACCCCTCCTTCATCAAGTATATATAAGCAATGAAAACTGCTGAGAAACCACTGGGCTTCCTAGCAGCCTCTCAGCTAAGCTAAACTGCCTAGAAGAGGCTCAGACCAGCTGAACTGCCTGCAATGAGTTCCAGGTTTGTGGCTTCCAGAAGCCATCATCTATGGTAATTAATGTTCAGTGATGCATTTGCCTTTGAGTCATTTCTGCTCCTGTAAATAACCTCTCACCCATACTCCTATAAATAACACTAAGAAAACTCACTGGTTCACCAGGTTGTACTTGGTGGTCTGTCGTTGATTCCTATCTGGGGTGAGTAGGTGTTCATTCATATCTTCCCAGGAATAGCGTCACAAAACAGGACAGATTCAGAGGGAAAAGGAAACAACAGGTAGTCACAAGGAGCTCACCCTTGGCGGAGACTTGAGGAGGTCCTCCTGAGGCAAAGAAGTCTTTGGATGAGTTCCTTTCTTTTACTTTACAACTAAATGTAGGGAAGGGGGTCTGGAGAGAGGAGAGAAAGCCTACAAAGCCCCGCTGGAAGGAAAGCCCGCTGAGAAGCTTTTGAAGTGGGCGGAGTGTCCCTGTCCCCTGACCAGTCCTGCTGGTCTATAGGGAGAGGGAACAACACAAAGGGCAGCTAGGGTAGGAGCTGGGACAAAGCTGGAACCTTGGACACCACAGAAAGTGAATGTAGGACCAAAAAAGGCTGGGTAGGAAGAGGAGTGAGTGCCAAGGAACACAGGTCCTTCATTAGAAGTGAGTGAGAAACGGTGTCCCCAGCTGGCCTGCACAGTAAAGGCAGTCACTAGATGCACATCACTCACTGATGAAGTAACTGTGACCATTGCTCAGCCTCTAAAAGTTGCTAGGGAATCAAGTGAGATGATACAGGTGAAGAACTTTCTAGAGAGGAAGCAGACACATGACAAGTGACAGTGGCTGCTTCCTTTAGTAATTTGATGGGCAGCTGAGTTTCCTTGCTGCCTCATGTCACACCCCACTTCCCAAGAACAGAAACCAAACTGAAGGGTAAACAAATTCTGGATTGGAGGCAGCATGGATGGCTCCAGGATGACCCAGACACTGACAGTATTTTCTTCCCACCACCCACTCTCAAGGACGCAAAGGATACGGGTTGCTGAACATCCTCTTCAGGTCCACCTTCTCCTTGCAGTAGGGGCACGTCTGCTTCTTCCCCACGATGCACCAGCCTCGGATACAGAACTCATGGAATCTGAGCATCATTGGTCAAGGGAAGTGGTAGAAAGCCAAACTGGAACTTTAGCCACATCTTGGATCTCAAGGTGCCAGAGCATCAGCTCCAGAGAAAGGTTCAACAGGAGGCTTCAACTCCTTACATTAAGCTGTGTAATTTGGGGCAGGTCCCTTCTCTCTGAATGTTTCCTCATAGAAAAGTGAGAGCAATGATCCTTATTTGCACTGCATTTTTGAGCCAAGATGGAGATCATACACAATTCCCAAAATGACACAGGATGGGAGCTTAGCAGATACATGATCGAGAAGACAGCAAGTCCTCAGTAGGGAATCTGAGTCTAAATTGAAGCATTTCACTAGAGGGTCTCCTTCCCCCGTGACAGATGCACCAGCTCGAGCGGCCTTGCTAGCTGCAGCTTTGGGTTCTCTATGACCTGGCAGTCCGTAACTATGTTTTACTGAAGGGGAGTGCCAGTCTGGAAGAAAGGATGAGGAAAGCTAAAGTTTCTGTCATGGCCCACCTACACTCCAACTCTGGACAACACATCATGGTCCCCCCAACCCTCTTCCTGCCATGACTGGAGTGTGGGTTCAGGAGAGATGCAGCACAAAGCAGGATACACGTGATTGCAGGAAAGCCTGTATGTGTTCTCGATGATGCCCTCTTCGTTGACATCCACAAAGATCTGCTGCCCACACACAGCACACACGCTATCTGAAAGGTGCTTGGTAGGCATGCCCGACTCACTGTAGAACTAGAGGATGAGAGCAGGAGGGAAGGCCAGAAAAGCTGTGAGAATCTGTCTGCCTGGGAAGATAAGGATGCTGGTCACGTTGCATCTGCAGTTAGGAAGCAGAGAGATGGATGCTGGTGCTCCGCTCACTTTCTCCTAAGCCCAGGACCACACCCAGGAAATGGTGTCACCCACAGTTAAGGCAGGTCCTTCAGACAGACCCAGAAGTTGATTTTCTAGGTGATTCTATCTCTTGTCAAGTTAACAATATTTACGACCACAGTCTTCTAGTTGGTCTTTCTGAACTGTGTCTGCCTCCTCTATAACCCAGTCTTTACACAGAAGACAACGTGGTAAAAGTCTCAATGGGGAAGCTTGCTAAAGAAGGCGCCCTTAAGCCAACTATGCTTGACACCTGCCGAGGGAAGGCTGACCACCAGTGGGTACTTAGTGACTTGAGTCAAAATTTGCAGAAGGACACAAACAGAAGCCAGGTTAGAACACACTAAGGAGTTTAATCCACACGGACAGGTGTCCTACCTGTGAGGAGCAAGGAACAGGCCAGGAATCAGAAAAGAAAGTGCCCAAGAAAGAGGTTTTTGTTTTTGTTTTTTGTTTTTTTCCAAATAAAAAAAGAATTTTGATTTCACAGAGAAACCCTGTCTCAAAAAAACAACAACAGCTGGGCGTTGATGGTGCATGGCTCTAATCCCAGCACTCGGGAGGCAGAGGCAGGTGAGTTCGAGGCCAGCCTGGTTAACAGAGCGAGTGCCAGGATAGGCTCCAAAGCTACACAGAGAAACAAAACCAGTCTCAACAAAACAAAACAACCCCACCCACCCACCCCCCAAAAAAAACAACAATAAAAGAATTCTGGC